CTCTTGAATTTTTTACTCTTTGATGTTCCTTCCCCTCTGTGAAGACTGAAGTCAACTAAAGGGCTAATGATAACCGTCAAAACGCCTGCTATTTGATATAATAATAATAATTTATACCGATCAACAACACAAAACTAAAAATAAAGCAGAGTTCACCGAAATAGGATACTGGAAGACGGTGTGATTTCAAGTGCGGGAGCTCTGCGCATCGCCTATGCAAAGAAGTGTGTCCAAAAACTATATTCAGATATGGAGTCTGAAGTTGTCTATGGCATGATATTTTCGTTAAATAGCCCAAAAATTACAAAATTACCAACTACATGAAATATGCTTAGACGCACCGTTCTTCAACAAACTCCATAAACACAGGTGATATCTTCAAGAAATTGAAGGAACTATCAATCACAACGTAAGAAAAATTTGGTTAAATTCGTCATTAAATCATCGCTTGTTAAATATATAACAAGTTCCTCGATTAAATTTCTTACAAACGATATTATTTGAAAATGGAAATACTTAAATTAAGAAGAAAATATCACAGCATTCTCAAATTGATCACCCCAGCAACGAGTCTTGGAGATTTGTCCAACGATAAACCCTTGAATTCCTCCGGACTTGCTTTCACAAGATCTCGAAGGCAGGTCAAATCTCCGGGTTGTGGTAGCCCCAATTCTTCCAATAAACCCAAAAAGTAGTCTAAAGAAAGAAAATAATAAATATATATAGATACGATATTACTAACATAAAACAACTTGGGAAACCTTACCGAGATCGGTAACAAGTTGCTTAGCCCCATGTGGTGTGAGACCAGGAATAGATCGACCTCCATTTCCGGACACATGCAACGGTGAGGGGATCTCCAAAACGACCTTAACGAAGGCTTCAGCTACCTGGCCACTTAGCAACCAATCCAGCCAAGCGGTTATAGTAGCTGGAGAAGAAATAGCTTCAACACTAGAGGAAGATGACAGCCTAGATCTGATACCAGGGGTTATTGAAGCGATTTGTTCTTCAGTTTTGCAAAAATCAGTTAATCGAAGACAATGAACAAGGGAGACTCCTTGATCAACATCTATGGCTGAATTTGTGTCCTCATTTGTATCCATAAATGGCAGTAGATGTTCTGGTAAATTAAAAATGTATTGTCCCAGCTACAATTAAAACAATAGGTTAGAATCAATACCTTCTTTCTACTTATATAATTTTGGCCAAATTACCTGAGTTACATATTCTTGAGGAAGGTAGGCAAGGTCAGGAAGAGTTACCTCTCCGCTAGCAGGTTGGGAAGCCCAGACTGATAGTTTTGGCACAACGGCCAAAATGTCTTTAACAGGTGACAAGGCCACATTTTGAGCCATTGTAACAGCGATTTTAGAGAGATCAGTCAACCGATTTAAGAGGACTTCGATAGATGTGATCGGTTCGGAAGCATCTGATAACGGCGGTTTAAGCCAATCATTTTGTGGTGCGAGAGGAAAGAGAACTGACCAATTAGTACAGGATTGAACTTCTCCGATCAACGGAAGCAACAATGAATGGAATGGACAATTGACTTTTGAACACGTCTTATCTTGCCTTGAATTAAATAATAAGGTTTTTACAGAACGATTAACTTAGCAATCACGCCCTTACCTTCCAATATTTCGGAATACCATGGAAATGTGTTGATTAAATTTTTTCAGAAAACCGGTAATTTCTCTTGAAAACGTACCTGGGAGAGAAAAATGAAATCAATTGGTGAGAACATTTTAGTAAAGTTTGCAAAATTATTTCAATCCTACATACATGTATGATTAAATCAGAATGGCTTACATTGTAATTTCAAATTAGTTTGCAGACCACAAACATAATACTAATGAACCTCAAGCGAAAAATAAACAATTTGAATTATCATATAATGATATTTCTTTGATTAGACTTACCTCCACGTGGTGCACCCTGGGCAACGTATACTCATATGACAAAAAAGTCTATTAACCGGTATTTGACTTCTCACTTCAAACTACCATCACCCCACTGTATGTCATATTCGACTACTTCCACAGTTCTTACCTCACCTTTTTTACCTTTGTGTCTGTCTCATTTACATCTTTGAAACACTCTTCTGTCCCCCTCCCCTCTCGACTTTTTGTCACTTTGATGTTCCTCTCCCTCTGTGAAGCCTGAAGTCAACTAAAGGGCTAATGATAACTATCCAAACGCTTGCCATTTGATATAAATAAATTAATTAATAAATATTTCTTTGATTCCCGCTCTTTAAGGACATAGATTAGTCACTTTGAGTGTACGGCTCCTCTTAAAATCAAACTAATTAGAAGGCAAGATAAAGGCAAAACAATTTCGCCTTTACAAAAAAACAGAGGAAAGAAACTCGAGCTAAACACCAATTCACGAATCCTGTCTTCCAGACGACATCAAACCTCTTTACTACTATCCTCATCTTGGTAAGGTTTACTTTGAAAGACCCCTCGGAATCCTATTCTCTGTCCAAATGGATTGATTGATTAAGACCATTTCCAATTATACTAATTACTTCATATTATAAGGTCGCTTAAAGAGGAGTCAGTTGAAAAAGTACAATATTGTATTTTTAATTAGAAGTTGATATCAAAGTTGTAGAAAGTGAAAAATGAATCAAAATGACTTACCTGTAGCCGCCACCAAAGATAAGGATATATTCATTCCACAGGCTTGTTCATACTTCATTTCTCTATCCTGTTCAATAAGATGATTTTTGAATCCATCCAGTGTATTACTCCATTGCTTAAACAGTGATTTTGTGGTTTGCTGGAAACACATCAGGTTCAATATATTACTTATTTAATAATTATTACTTATAATACATGACAAAACTCACATTAATTGCATCCAAGAAGCTCGGCAACGCAATCCCTTTGGTTTGAACCACTGCTGCGTTCAGAAGGTCTTCTAATCGTTTAATCAGTTGATTTGAAGTTAATTGAAGATCGTTTAGTAGTTGAGAGTCATCGTTATACTGAATATGGGAATTAGCAAAGTCGAATAAAATGCATTACAGATGGTTTGAGGATATGCAGCGTTTCCTGCAGAATTTCGGCAGCGTGTGCTTTAAAGATTTCACTAACAGCACCCAACGGGATACAAAGCTTTCTGGCAATCTCAAAATAGGGCTCCATCTTGGCGTCATCTAGAAAATAAATTCCTCAAATCTAATTACAATGACTTACCAGCGGTACAAAAGAGGCAACAGAGTTGATCAGCAAAGTATTGTGTAAACTAAGGAATGTAAGAGTTAAGGAACAATAAGCAAGAGGTACTTACCTTTAATAATTCACTACATCGATTGAGACGCTTGCTTACAGGAATGCTTTCAGCATAAACCAATTGGCCAATTTGTGGAGATATGACTTCCAAAGTAGCTGATATAGCTTTCAGGATGGGAGCCTGAGAGTCGTCTTTAAATAGATGTGATTGTATCTAAAGTAATGAACATATTTAGTGCATACTACTTTTGAACGTCAGTAGGTTCACATCACCATCTCCATTAGACACAAATTCAATAAATATTCGATGCAAGGAGAATAAAATGAAAATCAACATTATAAATATTATATATAACTCCAAATCACTAGAAGAATTTAATCGACATATAAAGCTAATTCTACCATTATACCTGATTAGTTAGGAAGGTGATAACTTCTGTAAAGTAAGCCTGAACACGCTGTATTTCCCGATCGGCTGGAGGACCTAGATTCAACGAATGACCACAGGGCTTCTCCCAGTCTTCTTTCATATGGTTCTGCATAGAAAAGAGTAGCATTTAAATCATAATCACTGAAGGTGAAAAGATTCACGGTGAATTCCACTTAACACACCGTCATCCAGGTAACATAATACTGAACAGCGACAGACGACCTATTGATGGCGGCGAAAATTGATATCATGTGTACCAAACTTTCCACTAATTGAGAATCATTAGATTGTGCGATGGAATCGAGTACCTCCATGAATTGAGGTGCCATCAGCGTCTCCAATCGATCCTTAGTAGAACTCACTAAAGCCTTCCTGTTGGCATAGTCGGGCATATGTTCCATGTAGACCTAATGGTTGAGAATATTTGGGTAAAAAACCGCTTCACCTAAGCACTGTTATGGTAGACTTAAACTCAAATGTATTTTAAGTTGACAAGATAGTACTGTAGCGGATTGCTGCACGAATAAGCCTGAAATTTCCTCAGTAATTTCTATGGCAAGATCCCTAGTTTGGAAAGGCTAATGGAATTAGCTAAGCTATCCCAACGACATAGAGGAACCAGACACATAGCGACAATAGCATTCATTGGATGTATGCTCACAACAAGCATGTCTAGTAATTGAATACATCTAGCATATCTTGAATTATTAGCCAAGAAGTCCTCTGTGAGGCACGATCGCAAATACCAGAATGTTCGAGTGCGCATGAGGTTGAGTTAGGCACCTAGGTCGCTATTAACTGCATAATATTAGCTCTTTTCAAAAAACGCTACCCATAAAAATTTCTCTAACAGGTAAACTGTAATCCAGTATACTTCAATCGACTCACCATGTACAAAAATAAAACTAGACAAAAACCAAGAGCTAATACAATTGAAGCAAACCTTTTAACCTTTATTGACACACATGCATTTATTTGGATTCTATATCCTCCTGAAGTATAAATATCCGTACAAATGCATATTCTCAGGAAAATGAATCCCTGTTAAAAATGAACAAACCTACATTACCAAAGATCGTAACAAATGATAACAAACTAAAAATTCATTCAAATTAAGGAGAAAGTTAGTAAAAAATAACTAATAAAAATAGAATTTGGAGTGCATGAGTTCAATTTAGAAAGAGCGAATACGAAAAGGCAAAGCTAACCAGACTTTGGTCCATATCGATAATGAGTTGGAAGAGTTGATCAACATTTGCATCTCCTTCCATTAGAGCTTGACGCGAGTTCACCAACATCGACCATCGATTGGCTTCCCGCAAAGCATCCGCCGCCTTCTTCACCCTTTGACGTTCACAGTCGAGACGTTCCAGCTCACGAATTATGCTATTGTTATCAATATGCATCTAAAATGACGACAAGATGCAAAATTATTAAGTAAAGCGAATAATGTTCATAGAAAGGCTAATTCTCATTTCTGCGGAAAACGGAAAACTGGAAAGAAATGAATTTGATCGTCATTAGTAGTAAAAATCAATGATAGTGACTAGCATGCTCGTCTGCGAATCCCGGAGATACAGGATCGATGTTTGTAACAGGTAATAGGTACAATAATAAATTATTACCTTGCGAAAGTCATTTTCAACACCGTCCATGTGGTGTTTGAGAAGAATCGCTTGCTGGTTAACAGATTCAATATCACGAAGAATTCTATATAATCATTTATTTCAAAAGTGTTCTCTGTTACCTTGGAGTCGCTTGAGCAATTTCATGAAATATGGTCTCAACTTCTTGGTTAGCAACCTTGAAAAAATGACAAAACCAATAAACAAAAGGTCTCCAAGAAAGTATTCTTAATTATAACCTCCAATCGGGTACCTCAAGCATCGTCTGAACATTCAATACAATCGAGGGTATTATCCCTTCCACATTAAATCCATTTGAACCTAATTGTAATACTTTATTGATCCACGCTTTGTGATTAAATTTTTCCAATAGGAATTCCTGTTTATCCTGAAATGGTAGTAAAGAAAACCATCAAGCACACTATAAATATATCCACAATGTAACAAAATAGGAAATCGGTCCAGTGAAGTATATTTTATTTACAAATATGTATATATAAGCATAAAAAGCTCAAATCTACAAAATTGCAAATATGTCCGAGGTGTCTTGAATGTCAACTTCTATTGAATCGTTCCATTTGAAACGAATATCTCCACTAATTATTGACTTTTCAAAGACATCAATTGGTTTACGGAGCAGAATTAGAGATTGACCGAGAAATTGGGAGAATCTTGAGTTGACAATTTCCTCACCCGTATCAGTTTCATAATGAAAGGAAATGAGAAGACCATTGATTTGTTTTGTCATTAAATTCGACAATGAGAACTTTTTACAAAGACTCTCCAGTTCGCCGGACTTCCTTATATCAATTTTAGCAAACTCTCTTTCCCTGGTAACTTCTACGAAGAAATCTCCCGGCCAATTTCCATGGTAAACTTTATTGTAAGCTTCTTCAACCAAGGGCGAAATATTGCTACCTAAGTATGAGCTGGGAGGAATAAGACTTTTTACAAGAGCTTCAGCTACGTTGACTCCAATAATTTGCAAGCACGCGATTGGAGGAAATACGGAAGCGTTATTAGATTGGATAAAAGAGGAGATTTGTGATTGGACAGGTTTGCGAAAAAGAGGGCTCATCCAATCACAAAATAGAACATCAGCAGCTTGAGTATCTGAAATTACTTCAATTTTAGCCTCAACACCATTAGCTCTGAAAGAAACAAGAAGCACCGCTTGAAAAATTTATTTAAGTAAAATGAATTTAAGTCTAAATAAACTAACCTGGCAACAGAAAGAACAGTTTCGGAAAAAATTGATTGCTGAATCAGAATTTGCTTAGCACCAGATTTAGCAGCGAAAACCGATAACAATCCGCCATCATTAAAGCAATTTAAAATGGTCTTGTCGCGAATAAGCGATTCCGAGTTCTTTGAAAGCGAATCCTGAAGACCTTTCAAAACAAACTTATCAACTAATATACCGGAATGTAAATAACACCATTCTTACTTAAAAAGGCTGCAGGCTGATAGGTAGAAACAATAGACGATGTTGATTTTCCGTAAATGTGGGGTGCTTGCTTTGAATCCTTAATGATATCCAAAGATGGCTTAGAAACTAACTCATTGATAAGTTCATGGCATTTTGCTATTTTAAGACGGAGCGATTCATTTTCCCTCATAACGTCCTCCAAATTTTTAGTATCCTCTTTAATAGAACTACCGAATAGGGTTTCAACATCTTAAAGCAAAAATAAAATGGAAAATAAATATCTCACCAATCATAAGAACGTCATCATCTTCAATAACGGGATGAGTAAAAGACATTCGTTGATTGTCGGAAAGTTTGTAAAAGTCCGAAAAACACTCAGGATTGGTTTTTCGAGCCCAATTCACAAAAGTAATCCATAAAAATTGGTCCACAAAAAGACGCTGTTCTTTTTTTAAATGCCATTGGTGAGAATTCGAAAGATGTTCAAAGAATTCCTGGACCATATTGGAGTTGTTGTCGCAAAGTAGACACTTATAATTTTCGGAGCAGCCCTCGTCGATATCATCATTACTTTCACTGTCGTTTTCGAAGGAACTCATCTGAATAATAGAGTAAATTTACAAAGAGCCTATTTTTAAATATTTAATCCGAAGAACAAAAAAGGTCTAATATATAAATTTATTATGTACAAATCAGTTCTGCAAATTCCTAGAGCATTCCGAAATTATGCACTCTAATACTTCTCGATCAGTGAGATTTTCAGTCTTAATGACCAAAATTGAACCATTGCCTACAAGGTAATAGGTATTAAATTGATTTCCGAAACTCACTGAAATTGACTTTTACAAATGGCTGTGACATATCACTTCGAATGTCAACTTTCATTACACAGCTCTCGTTTGAGCTGCGCCAACGCGGAGAATACAACAGAGTGCATACATTCCTGAAGATTATAAAAAACATACAAATAGACTACCTGATGGAAAACGTGCGTGAATAAAATGGACTAAATGTAAATTCGATACTTTTTACCGGTTTCAAATTTATATGTTGTAAAAATGATTTATCGATATGTAAATCATTCAGAGCAAGAGGACTTCGAATATACTTAACAATAGGTAATAATTTTCGCGCCTTCTCAACGCCAATCATCACGTCAAAACCTAATATGAACAACCATTTCAAAAGACCTTCCAGAAATCAGTTGATTCAAATGATATTTGATTGGTATATCCCAGTCACAAAACAATATATTTAACCAATTTTTATATAAAAACATACCATTTAAATTAATTAATGCTAAAAATGCAATGCTAATGCAATAAATAATGATAATGATAATAATAAATTGAATGCCATATTTAGTCTCAATTTTTTATAAAAAATGTGATTTTGTCAAAATATATTTCTTCCATATCTATGATTTTTTGAAGATATATTCTCTTAAGCCGGTTTTAACAATTTGCTCCAGTTGAAAAATAGACTTCAAGTAAAATTATCTAACGCATTGTAGTTTTAATACTGTTTTGTGTAAGTTCTATCAGTGATATCTTGTTCTCTGAGTTCATCCATGTTCAATCATTTTGATTCCGTTCTTGAAAAATAATTGGGAAATTGACAATTTGGCAAAAATATTTCTTTCGTATTTTGGCTTGACATTATGTAATTTAAATAAATATATATTTCAAAATTATATTTCGCGTCACCATATCGAAGTAAGCAGTGAATGTGATTTTGCCCCGTTTTGTGTGCAAAATCAACTTTTTGCTAAATATATTTATAAATTGTGTGTGTATGCTCTTTAACTTCGTGTTATCCTGGACGGGTGTTCTCAAATACGGTCATCTCTAAGTGGTTAAATATTTCTCCCCTTTAAAGTTCTCATAGTTTACTAATCGAACCCTAAAATAACTGTGTTTCTATTATTTCTCTGATTTTCTTTCAAATTTGTTTTTCTACTTCGAAATGCCAACGAATTTGTCAACTTTAGGTCACATTTGTCAGTTAATTCATGTCGTTGTTAAAAGGGGCGGTGTCATCAAATTACTATTTCCCTGGCTAAGACCAAACCACATATCGATCAATTCAAGCTCATTTATCCCCAGCAAGATTTCTGTAAAACCAGTGCCAAGAGTATGAAATAGTAGGAGATAAATGAGAGGTGAAAGTTGCTGTAGTGAACTGTTCAAGAAAATAAACGAAAAACGTATTGGCATATCCCTCTAGCTAAAATAAATCACTTGAGCACGTGCATAAATTCCCTATGGTTAATACCTAAATCTCATGTACGCGATTAAGATACATAGGTCAGGAAAATTAGTGGTGACTTAGATAAAATTGGGGGTTATTCTTAATCCCCTATAATCAGCTTGAAACGATTGAATTTAAGTTGAACAACTTCCCTAGCAGCTTTATTCATCATTTCGATTTAAACATCTTCTCAGTGTTCTATATCAGACATGCCCTAGAATTCCAATTGCTGCGAATTTCAACTAGTTCCAGCTCCAATACAGAACCAAATGAGTCCAAGAAAGCTACATCTGTAGATTAACTCTAAAACACTAGCAATTCCACTTATGTTTACAGCATATATGTGCTACACTGGTTTTGACCTCCCATTATCGGAAGTGCAACCAATCAGAAACAGCCACATATTGATAAACACTACCCTTCTAGAAAAAGAAAAAAGTTGATATTCGGGTTAAAAACTGTACAAAATGTAAAAATACTGGTACACGGAAGTAAATGACTAAAGCTAACACATGAAGAGAAATATGTGAGATCTGATTCACGATGTATCCATTGCTTCGGGCTCAACAAACTTTTCTGGATCTAGAATTTAGGAAAAAAGGGGCGTAATGAACAAGCCTGTCATATTGAGAAATAATGTCATGATTTGCACCCACTTACGACTAGCGTATTGATGCAAATAGTCCATAACAGCGTTTGCAGTGAAACCACGCTCTTTCAGTTTGACGTCTAATACCTGAAATAACGGCAGATTATTAGGCTGAGATGCATATATCAAAAGAGCCAACCTATCGAGACCATTTTAAAACAGTGCGTAACAACTATTCGTTAAAATTGTGGAGGAATAATGCTAAACAAATAACTCACCCTCACGAAATTCACGAGACCGCCAGATCTAAAATCAGCCTAAAAGAGAAATTTATGACAATAACAACCAGGCAACAGCTTTTAAAAGAAATAAATGAGACCTACATTAGAGATGATGAATTTGGCAAGACCAATAATATCAGGTTTACGAGCTTCTAACTCTGGAATGTCTTGAGAAGCCTTTTTAGCCGATCCGAAGCTTGATAACTTAAATGTGACATCTTTAACAATGTCACGAGCAAGTCTCTATAAGCACAAAGTGAAAATAGAAATTAGATGAAAAAGTTTACATTATGGCATCGTGTTCCCGCATCGATAAGAAGATTAGCCGAGTTTTGAAGAGATCTAATATCTCGATGAGGGATTTGAATAAGAATCGACCTTGCGCAAATATTTCCATGAATAAATCGATGTTGCGAAAACATATAATCCAAAGAACATCCAATTTGCTCAATGATTGAAGCAGCAGTGCAAGGTTTAAGCAGCCTATTTTTGCGTAAGAGGTAATCATCAAGACTACCACCGACACAATATTCCAATTTCAAGAAAGTGAAACCCATTTCAGACCAGGAAGTATAGAAGAAGACAATATTATCATGCTCCAAAATATCAAGCACTTGTAATTCATTAGAAGCCATCTTAATACTTGGAAGGTATTTTTCATCAAGCTTCACATCGTAACCAACGCGCTTGATAGCGTAAAACAAGCTCTCATATCGGTGTCGTGCTCGATAGATTGTGGTGGAATCCGATTTAAAAATTTGCTCAATAGATGCGTAAGTTTGAAGAAAGCTAGTGAAAAATATGTAAATTCAAATAACTACCTACCCTGAACCACTAAAAGATGACAAAGTATAAATTGGGTCGGTTTCAGTTGGGTTCGGTTTGTTTTCTGGATCAGCGAAAAAATTTGAAGATCTAGGAGGACGAATGCCATACTCGCCAAATTCAACAGCTCTCTCCACTTCGTAAGAAACAATGTTAGCAAGATTGGACTTGTTCAAATTTTCCAACTTCGATTTGGATGTCAATTTGTTTGGAGGAGTTGATTGAACTTGAACCTGTTCCTCCTCAACTGCCATCTCCTCGCTTTCATCCGAATCATCGAAGAATAGAGTTCGACCAATTTTCAGCCGTTTGGAAGTTGTCGATACAAAAGAAACAGACGTATCAATCTTTTTAGCAAAGTCAATGCGAATATCGTAGTATTGCTTGGATTCAACACTTCCCTCCCGAACTTTATTTTGAAGTTCTTGAAAACGACTTGTATCTTGTATCTTTGAATTCCGGCAGTAGGAACCTGAGGCATTTAACCCATTCTCTCTAGAAGGACTTTCAAAGCTATCAATCATGTTTACGGAGAAAACCTAAAAAACGCTTTGAATATAAAGTCGTTCTGATGACTTAATATAACAAAATAAATTATGTTTATTCACATTATTTTAATTTGTCTTATTCTGAACTGAAATTTTACTTTTCATTTATTTTATTATCTGATTTTTATTAATGATTTTTTATGACTAGGAATAATTATTAAGGTTAATTTATTTATCATTTTTGTGCTTAAATCTGTGTGTTTATAAAAATACCACAACTTTTAGCTGATGTTAAATTAATTTTATTGTACTGTATGGCAATGACTGCTTTTAAACTCATCATTAATTTTCTATCTGTTAAGTAATTGCCCTTTAATAAACTCATTGACTAATTTTATATACTCCTACTTGAATTTTGACAAACTTACTGCTTTGAGTATCTTCGCTACGGTTTGCTTAAGGTGTCGGTTATTACATTTATACATGCTGCTGTTAATGCATCTATTGCAATTATGATAAAGATTTTTCAATGGGAAAATTAACAATGCTTAGTCGAATGCTCCCTTTCATTCTTTGATTTTTCTTGTTATTAGTATATCTGACAATTATCCAAAGAATATTCACACAAGGCGATCAAGGGCATTAAGTTATATACTATTTACTGTATTATGTACCAACAAATGCAAATATATGTTAATGATACATCACTCTTCTAGCTAATCCCATGTAGGACCACCAAAGTAATGGTTGATTTCGATGGGTTAACTTATTGTCAAAATATCTTATTCGCCGGAAACCATCTGTCTTCAAGGCACTTGAGTTCATCGAAAATGAAACAAATTTGGAGTTCTTATTTTTCACCAGTATGTTTTTTAATTTAACGTTTTTTACTTGATTAAACTTACAAATGATTATATCTCTATGTGATGATCAATATCAGCGTTTCTTCATGCAGGTATACGACTACACATGGGTTGTCAATCTTATTACCCACAACCAACTGTGGATTGATGCCTAAAAATTCTTCAACCATGGTGGATTTTCTGAATCTTGATTTACATGTCCCAATTTGCTGAGAGCACCGAATACACTTACATACATACATACGCATATAATCACAGAGATTTCGTAATTTCCTGTTTGTTTTTGCCATAACCGAAGTCGATCAAAGTGTCGAAGACCCATTTAAGAATGCCATAGTGCATCCAATACACATTTCAATAGTGAATTCACGATTTGAGTCCATCTTCTCATTTAAACTTGTGGAAATTCTGATTACATCGCCTTAATCCAAACTTTTGAACCCAGAATTCAGAAATCATTGAAAATAAAAATCTATACATAGGAATCTGATCCACTTCTCCTCTTATGCTAATTCTCTCACTCCACGATATTAGAAAGAACTATATCTAACTATGTTAATTTCACACTCTGAAATTGAATGGTCTGTTGCGGTCGTCAGGGTACATGAGTTTTTTTCGAATAATAACGTGTGTAGGAAAATTCGAAGTCGAAAAGAGGCAGCACTATTTATGAACAGAGACAACCCAGATGAGACGAAATAACGTATCATTAGAGCTGGTCAATTTCGTAAATCCTTATCTCTTCATACACAATTCTCGGTTGAGGCAAAGGTATTAGACAATCTGAACCAGATTGCGCAGGTACTAAAATTGTCCATGTTCTATTATTTCATCTAGGTCTGCAGACGAGGATGAGTACTGTCGTGAGCATTTCAGTCACACACATTTCGATGAGACAGAATTAAACATCTATCAACACACCTTTCGTTTTCTTCCCTCTTTCACTGTTTTGTCAGGACAATCTGAAGTTAAAAGGCCTTGATAGCACTAGAACCTATCTGCACTAGTTATAAATCCGAAACTCACTGCGAATAAGATATTCTTTGCATTTCATCGGCTGAAATTAGTAAAATATTTTTTCCCCATAACCTACAAAACCATAGCATCTTATCTCATTCACTAACCAATTTTTTGTAAGTGGTGTGAACGAAATTAAGAAAGGACCTAAATGACAACAACTCTGTAAATTCAGTTCAACATATTTGATAAAATGGAAATACTAACTTCAAAGAAGATAAAAAGAATAACGTGTATTTTCAAGCCATGTCGTTAATGGAACAAATTCAAGGTGGAACTAAAACACAGCACTAAGAAAACGAATTTTGAACTATAGGAGGGGGTGGTATAGGAGGGGGTGGGGAATGAAATTAACATTACAAGGCACATGCGAAAAAATTTGGGTTTGTATATGAGTGTAATTAACCTAATATCCGACAGTGGGCATGACACGATTCCTGTTAATCGCGACGCCAACGGAAGCATGAGATGGAGTGTTGAACAGAGATCGCAAGAGATACACCTGACCAACAGCAACGATGACGATGATTGCTGCGTGGGTAATGGAGCCCCAAGTAACCCGATCATTTAGGGCTTCAATGAAACTTCGGGAAGTGGCCTCTTGTAGGCGAACTTTGGTTTGAGCGGCTGCGGCATTTCGCAGATTCTCATGGATTGAGTATATCATTGTGTCCATCTAAAGCGGAAGTCAAGTGTAAGCCCTTGATATCTCCGATAACTTTACACCAGTAAAGATTATTATTTTTGCTGGTATTATAGGTAATTCAGTTATATAAGCCAATCGACAATGTCTTCAACCACTAAACACCATCTACCATCACTAATTCCGCACTTTATTCATTAATCAGAAGGCCAAAGTTGATCTCAATCTGGGTCAACTATTTGTTGACATTTTCGTGATAAACAAAACACTGTCTCCTGTTCTTACCGATAAGACACATTCTGGCGTTCTCCAGTCTTTTGACAATAATTAGGTTAGGCTAATTCAGGCTTTGCAGTTAGTAGCTTATTGTGAATATCCAAGTTAACAGTAGGAAAATCTAATAAAATAGCACAACTCATTTCATAAATTCTAAGTAGAAGAATAAAGTAGTAGAACGACCAATCTCAAACACGAGAGGCAAAATGCCTCTCCTACAACTCAAAACACAGAACTATTGATCTTCCCTATAGTTAAAAATTCCAATACAAATAAAGTAATTTCAGCAAGAGAAGACTCGTTATCGTGATTCCGATTTTAAAATCAGTGACAATAGGCCTGAAACTCAAAAATATTTATCACACATGCGGAGCACCCACCTATCTACCAAAATTAAGTGTGAAGATTAATTGACAGGAAAAAACAAGCTACTGAAAAATAACCTGCCAATGAAATTGAATAATTAAAACGAGAGAAATAAACGCCATTTAAATCATAACTATCAGTGCAAATAGATTACAACTGATATGTATGATAAAAAGGAACATTCAAAATTTCTAATTTTAAATCGATTAGTTATTATGAATCAAATGGACAGTTTTGCTACCCGAAATTAAGAAAACCATTGAAAACGGAAACTTACCATTGTCGGAGGGGAGTCCGGTTTTTCACCTATTAGCTGAGACTTTTGTGATTCCATTTCCCAATTAACATAAACCACTTTATGAGTCACCGACGAAAATTCGTTGCCGAAACATAACTAAAAACGGCGAATATTGAAATTAACACTAATAGATAGCCATGCCTTATATTCACCAGCTACTCTAGCAGTATGTTCAAAATAATCGTACTGTTCACGCACGAGTTGCTTAATAAGATTCTTAAAAGGATCGTGAACAATAACGTCGACATCGAAATTGCCACCTGCTATGACCTATATTTGATCAAATAAAAATTAAAGGAGTAAATCAAAAAATGCTTTACAATTAAATCGAATGAAGGTCAAAAATGCCAAGCGATTTACCTGGAACTCTATGGTACTTCGTTCCCCTTCTTCCAAAAGAGCATAGAAGCAACGATGTTCTCCATCTGGTAATTCGAATGTGTAACGTGATGATTCAGCGAAATTGAAAAGAAAGAATATAGCAACGAGTGAGACAAAAGAACGCAACATCATTACATTAAAACCGCGCACCTACACAATTCTGGAAGCTGATTGGATTGCTGCTCTTAACAAAACACGCATTAATTTAAAAGGGATTTTTAAGAATAATTGACAAAATTCGTTATTTATTATTTTATCCATACCGCAAGAGTCAGCTATTAAAGTATTTTTTTTCATAACTATCAATTTGTGATCCCGTAAAATATATTTGTACTCCATTTTTAATTCATCTTAAAATATTTTTTTTAGATCAAATGGCAGACGTTTTGATAGTTATCATTAGCCCTTTACTGGACTTCAGGCTCCACAGAGGGGAAGGAACATCAGAGTGAAAAAAATCGAGAGGGGGGGGGGGGTGGAAAAGAAGATTGTTTCAAAGCTGTAAAAGAGTCAGACACAAAGATATAAAAAAGGTGAGGTGAGCAATGAGAAAGTAATCAAATATGACATATAGTGGAGTCATGGTAATTTGAAGTCAACTGCCGGTTAATGGACTTCTTTGCAGCATGAGTATACGTTGCCTAGGGTGCACCACGTGGGGGTTAGTCTATCGTACATCTCATCTTAAAATATTGAATCCCAGAATGTACATAAGAATTAATCAAAGTCTGAATTAAAAGACCAATTGATGCTAGTTAATTATTAGATTTGTGAATTTCGTATGAATATCCTCATGATTCGTCTATTTCCCCTTTTATGTTGCATTTCATGGGTACATTCCTCTAAGGAATGATCATCGAAATATAAGTTAGACGTAAATACAATTCCTTTTTTCATTTCCATCAGTCTTACATCACACCACAAAACCTAATTGTCATTTAATAATCGGAAACATTAAGTTAAACAAGAATAAATTGCTTAGTCTTATAATCGATCAATCAGTCAGACTATGCTGAACTTTAGGTTATTTCTATTGAATTAAGAACGACACACTTACTTTCTAAAATAGAGGTTTATGGTAAATATTATTCATTAGGCGTTTTGACCTCATTTAATGCTCATTTAGAAAATGTTAAAAATTTTGGGGTAACCAAATAACTTTATTGTTTTGTTACAAGAAGAATGATTTCATTTTTATTTGATATTCACTCCATACGTTAAACTACCAATTGTCTTTTGATAAGATCAGTGGGTCAATGGGACTGTGATTTGATGGCACTTTCCTTATGACAGTGCTTGTTTGTTCGATTCCTATCAAGACCCTCATTGTGATTGGAGTGTCCATAATGCTGATTAGATCTGGCCACTAAAGATTTCTCAATGTCACTCACTTCTCAAGTCGAATATTGGAAAGGATATCCCAAATGCGGCTATATATAATCATTAACAACACATTACATATCACTATTTGGTATTCGTGATTTTATTTACCAAATCTCACGAGATATTTTATTCAAAAATTTTTGTTGAAAATGTAACTATAAGCATGCTCTTTTGGCAAATCTGTTTCATTCTATTTTCAAGTGCTCTCCTGTATAATTAAGAAATATGGTTTACAGTCAGTTATTAATATCGCTGGAAATAATTGTGAAAAATTTTTCTCTTCAGATGATTTTTTTACAAAGAAAGCAAAATTAATTTCTTTTGTGATTTAGAAACTGTTTCTTTAAAGGTCACAGGCGCCAAATTGATAGGTGACTACGGCCTTTGACAGTTATTGCATTCCCAATGACGACCTTGGTGGAAGCACTGCAACGAAAATTCGAAGCCCTTGTTACCGATGAAATAACCCCCCTTTGTAAAATTAAAATTGCTCCCCGTTCAGGTATATTTTTTATGTCCCTTTTTATCGAAGTCTAATTGTTTTCAAATGTTATAGGAAAAGTCCCACCAATATGCACTCGTATTATTGCAATGGATCATCAGGAAATCACGACAATCGGTGATCCAAAAGAACTGATTCATATTTTTAGTGACATGCATGAACTTGATATTTCTACAAATCAAATTCGTCTTTGGTCAGATATATTTGAAATCCTAGAGTGCTCTCCACAACTGAAAACTCTGAATCTTAGTTATAATCCTCTCCAAGATTCACCTCTCTTCTTTGCATTAGAAGAAAACGACGATGACACATCAAATCAACAATACGAATCTCCTAGTAATTTTTCCTCATCCCCCTCAGAATACACAAATGGCAGCAATTGCAATCCAGCGGATATAAATTTACTCGCGGAAATATCCTTCAGTGAAGAAGACCGGAATGAAAATGTTAGGTTCATTTTTTATTCCTTTTTTCTTGGTAAATCAAAATTTACATTTAAACATATTTATTGGGTTTATATTATCTTAGCTTGCGTTTTTAGGTGTTTTTCGATAGAAAATATGTAGAATTGAAGGCATATGTTTTTTTTCTATTAATATCATTTGCCCACTACAAGTTCCGAGGTCTAGGAATTATATACTCAATCTTTCCTGTATGCTGGGCATCTATAAGTCTTTAGGGATATTGTTGTAAAATTTTATCTACTCGAAATATTAAGAGGGAATTGATCAATGTTCGGTTCAACTTTTGTCAAAAATAAAAATCTTTATAAAGTGTTTTAATTTTTATAGTGTAACAATAGTGCGCTATTCTTGTCACAAAACCCATCTGCTTCTTGTCTTTCTCCACAACTCACAACACTTCTTCTGAATTCAACTCGGGTTCCATGGAAACGAGTTTTACATCTACTTACTTATCTTCCCAAGTAAGGAATCGTTTTCCCGCCTTTTATTTGATCGACTTTTAATTGTTATAATATTCACTTTATAATTAACTGCTTTCCAGAATATATTTGGTCCTCGGGTTACTTCTCGCAAATATTAGAGTTTCTCAAAATTAGAATTAATATGCTTGCCGTGATTGTGGTAATCTGAGTTTGAACTGTAAAAGATATTTATCCTTTGAACAACCATATAGAGAGCATAGTTGAATTCATTTAACCTCATAATCTCTTTTGCAATGTTAGCACGTTCTCTTTTTCCTGATATTTTGTATTGCTTTGTACTTCACATGATGTGTTCATAATAAAAGGCGGAATGCCGTCAACAGTTTGAGAGTAGAATGAAGTAGAGCTTCAACTAATTCTCATTTTTGCTGATTTTCAATCCCAGGATTTTATTATGCTTCAAAATTTTCCATCATAACTAACAAATAAGGCCATCACGTGATACCTGGAAGTAAGCTCTTGTGCACGCAACTCTTCCCCTCCTCCAAATTACTTACAGTGAGTTGTTTTGCCCTAACGCTGTGGTGCACGCAAGTGGCACTCTTTATAACTTGCTCCTAGTCGCTTGCTGTCGTCTCTGCGCGCGACCTTGATAAACAGCTGATCGTTCAGCTGTTTGCGTGGACGCGTCTCTCTGCAGTTGGTCTTAGCCCCGTTTTTTAGCCAACCACCTGCGTTAGAGCGCGCACCATTCTACGCTGTTATGGTACTTTACGGATCTTAGATGTAGATTGATTCATAGTCATTTCTCATTTACATTTCGATCGAAATGCTTAAGCATTGAGCGTTCACATTTCCTACCGCCAATGAGTATTAGTCAGGTCGTTTCCTTTGCGAATCACCATAGTGGACCAAAGAATAATTCTTTTGCTGTGGGTGTGTACGTTAATCATATGCTCCCTTGTTCTGAATAATGGTCTATCTAATTGCGAAATTCCTACTGTTTTAATATCAACCTGGGGTATGCGATAAACATACCTCCACGTGGTACACACTGGGCAACGTATTCTCATATGACAAAAAGTCTATAAACTGGCAGTTGACTTCTGACTTCAAACTACCATGACCCGACTGTATGTCATATTCGACCCCTTCCACAGTATTCATTTTACCTTTTCTCTGCCTTTGTGTCTGTCTGTCTCTTACATCTTTGAATCACTCTTCTGTTCCCTTTCTCCACTTTTTCTCACTTTGATGTTCTTCTCCTCTGTGAAGCATAAAGTCAGCTAAAGGGCTAATGATAAGTATCATAAAGCTCACCATTTGAAATAAATATTAACCTAAATATCCGTTAAATTTGAATGCCGAAAATCGGAAAGAGGACGAATGAGAGGATGGTGTGAGTTTAGTTCAAGCATGTGGTACGTATTCAAAGTGTACGTGTGTATCAAATGAGTAATTGAACGATTTGAAGAATCCGGTTAACCAAATTTACCATAAAATAGCTATAACTTCATCCGCTTTCGTTTTTCTACGCTTAATTTATAAATATCGGGCATCACTTCCTTCGTTTCATGCTAATATTTGACCTAAAAATAAAATTTAACTGAAAATTAATTTTTTTGATAAGTAAAAGCCTTGTAGCCATGCTTGTGCAGTTCTTAATAAGCTAAATTTTGTTATCAGTTGATTTAAAATTTGATACAGATATGCACTGTTACGAGAGTATGTATGAAATGCACAACCATGTACTTAAAATCTGGCTTCCAGTCGAATCTTCATGAAATAAACTCCAGATTGAAATTCTTTCTGGTTGTGACGTTTCTGTAACTTTGAATCATTAGGCTATTAAGGTCTTAGAAATAACTATTGGTATTACGGGCCTAGAGAATTAGTTGCTGTTCCGGTAAGAAAATAAAAAGTTCCTTTAGCATTTCTTATAAATCGATGACTTTTCAGATCCTTATTGAAGGAGAGGAAGAAGAGAGTGGAGCACACAATTTTCAAAACGATTTTCTTTTATAAAAACGAAGCTTTATTTGCTCATAGATTTGCATGCTTGAGAATAAATTAGCCTTCTTGTTAGTCAATAATTGCATTAGTAATGCCTTCAGTGAAGAAATTCATTAATCGATAATCTAATGCACAAGGATTGGTCATAATTGATTCGATCTCCTAAGGTCTCACTTCAAAAAACGATCGAAAGCACTCTAATGTGAACTATGTCATAATTTTGAGCAACTGAACTCAAATTGGTAGAATGTGAAACCAAAGAATCATTTCTTTTTATGTTATATTCTGCTAATACTCCTAAATAAGTTGTGTAAATGACTACAATGAATATACCAATCTTTATTCTGTTTATCTGTCGAGTCAAAATTTGAGCGAATGTGCGTATCAGCACTTGCTTAGTTTCTAATAAATTTAAAGTGGACCATGGAAAATGAGCTGCTTGAAGCTCCTATCTTACTAATTTTTGTTTTCATTGCCTTCTCTTTCCTTACTGGAATGTACTTTTGTACTTGCACTTTTTGAAGAAAAAGATACGAAGACTGGATGTTGGGACCTGGTCTAATGTTCGAGGTCAGGAATATATTTGCATACACACTAGGCCTCTGCCTCAAAACAGGGTCACCTGACCAACGGTAATTCCATGCTCTTGTTTTGGTACAAAAAGGTCTTTACCTTGGATTTGTATTGTTTTAGAAGAAAAACATTAACAGGAAATGTTAGGTTTTTGATGTAAATTATTGGTAAATTTTTACTTACTTTATATCTCTAGGACAATCAGACTTTTAGCTCCAAAGAGTTCAGGAGAATTTCATCCTTGCATGTGCTTACCGAAGTATTTATTTCTTTTTAATTGTTCCTTTATCAAAACAATAAGCCATGGAATGGAATGCAAAATATAGAGATTTCATATAGGAAAACCTATTTCATCCACAGGCTTTAAATATTTGATTTGGTTAGATTTACCTGTGCCTTATTTTGAAGGCTATTGGGTTGAGAATTGCGTTGGGTAAGGATGCGCATTAATGCATTTCGCGTTTCCACTCATGTGACAACATGCAACTGGAATTGTGCAAATTCACGAATTTTTTGGCAACATGGCATCTGGGCTTTGAATTTAGTAGAGATTTTGTGCTTTTTCCTTCCCCAAATCACGACTTTAGTTTTATTATAAATAACCCTGAGGTATAAAAGGTTAACATTTATTCCTCTCTTAATTTCCCAGCCTGAGGACTCTCCACGCAGCTCTCAATGACTACTCATGTTGTTGTCCTCAAGATTCTCCCAAAAACTCCTTTCCCCAGTTTTTCAATCTCGTAGACCTCTATTTCTCAGAAAATCGACTCACTTCCTGGGCAGACGTCTGTTGTCTAGGCAAACATTTCCCCTCCCTCCAACACATTGTCCTCCTCCGAAATCCTCTCCAGACAATTCCGTTCAAGTCTACTACTGGGGATGAGGAGACTCCATTTACCTCAGTTAAGGATTTAAATCTCATGGAAACACTAATTGATTCATGGGAGAGTGTGGATGCTCTGAATCAATGGTTCCCGGCACTCAAATCGCTTCGTTTGGGAAAGGACTTGCCGCTTTCTGAGGTTAGTTAAATTTTAAAAGCATGTCATCCAATTAGTTTGATTGTGCCAAATTTTGGCACAAATCAGACAGGTAGACGTATAACTTTCACTATAAATTTTAGTGAAGTGAGGTGTTCTTGAATTTGCAGAGTTTGGTGCTCAAAGATGTGGTAAGTTAAACTACCTTTAACAACTATGTAGCTGGTAGATGGGAATCTATGATGTTTTTTCTAGAATGAAGGTCTTTGTTCACTCTTTTTGCAAATTTCCTTTACTTTAGAGAGCGGTTCTCAGCCGATTCAAGGTCGCTTAATTGTTAAGACTCGTATTGGATTGTCTTCTAATTGTGCCAGTGGTTGAAACACGTGATCAGTCGTTTTTTGACATAGGTAGGTGCACTCTGTTGGGGGTGG